CCACGGTCAACTACATGGGAGTCCAGCGACATAGCCATTACGCTAACTGCTGGTCCCAATTAATTTTTAAAAAGCGTATGAACTAAACAAAACATGTCCGGGTGGTATGGACCTCCAGGTTGTGTGTCCACACCCTCTATTGCCTTACCTTTATTTGATACAAGAATTGGTGTGGGAGTAATCTCCTGATCAGCAGTATTTTTCTTTGAGTGATGAATATATTCATTTGTCTAAAGCACTTATTAACCATCTAATTGCATAGAATATGGCACAGAGAATTAGGGATACAGTTCGTTCTTTCTTTTTTTTTTTTTTTTTTTTTTTTTAAGCTATTTTTTTCCGCCCATAGAGTGCATGCATTTGCTGAAGAGAGACAGAAAGAGGGAAAATGAAAAATCACCCACTGGGGGGATAGCCACACTGCAGTCCCCTCTCCTCTAGTCTCCCCTTGGGATTTCAGGTGTACACACACCTGGTGTGATTATCACCACTGGATCTGGGACTTGATCTGCAGTTGACCATGTGAGAGTCTAATGCCTCAACTACCATGCTACTTGCTGACCCCTAGATATAGTTTTGTTTTGTTTTTTTTAGAGAGATTTTTGCTGTAGGGCGTGTGCATTCACCATTGAGACAGAGAGAGACGTGGATCAGTAGTTGGCGTAATGGCTATAAAAGAGAGACAGAGACAGAGAGACAGAAAGTGAGAAATCACCCCGCACGTAGCAGTCCCTTCTCCATTCACCTCTCGGGATTTTGGACATGTGCATACATGTGCCTGGCATGGGTTTCAGGCCACTGGATCTGGGACTCGAACCAAGGTCAACTACATGGGAGTCCAGTGACATAACTGTTAAGCTATCTACTGGTCCCCCTATAGTCCTTAACTGCTACTTAAAATTTTGAGACTTTAAGGGTCTGGCTCGTGGCATGGTGGCTATGGTGGCTGGATCCCACGTGGCCGACTTCCTGGTTTGAGTCCCAGACGAGGCAGCTTGGGAAGCACTCTGTGCACGTGTGTGTGCCCAAAGTCCTGAAAGGGAGGAGCGATGGAGGAGAGGGGCTGCAGGCTGACCATTCCCTGTGGGGTGTGCTTTCCAACTCACTTGCTCTGTCAAGCACATGTGCCGTCTGGCAAATTAACCAAAACAAAAAAAAGACTTTCACTCCCATTTTCCAACTGGCCCCAATGCTTTTTTTGGGTCAGTTTAGTGAAGCTTGGGCATGAAGTTCTCGGTGCATGTGTGGAGTGGTTGGGAGTAAACGATGAGCTACAGCCCGAGGAGTCGGGAGCCACAGTGTCCATGCTGGGAGCTGTCAGAGGTGGCCTGGCTGTGCATCAGAATCACTGTGCACCTTAGCATTCACATTCAGTTGTTGTCCAGGGCCTAGGGCTCTCAGTTCTAAATAAAACGTGGCTTGGGGCCAGCAGGTGACATGGTTGTTAAGGCACTGGAATTCCCACATGGCCGACCGTGGTTTGAGTCCCGAACCTGGCAACTTGCTTTCTCACTCCCTCTCTCTCTGTCTCTGGCAAAACTCATGTGCAAATAATTAATCAATTCTTTAAAAAATATATTTTAAAAAAATGGGGGCTAAGTGGAGGTGATTCTGATGAGGTGCCACGAGTTTAGTGTAGCGGGCAGGAGAGCCAGATCCAGGGCATGAAGGGTGGTCTGTTAGAGCTCAGACTAGCCTTGTGTCCCCTGGCCTCCCGCGGTTTCCCCCGAGGGCTGTGGGCATGGCTGTGCTGTGTAAGAGCAGTGCACTGTCGGGCTTCTCTCTCCAGCTGAGGAAAGGCAGTGAGTACCCAGCCATCGTGCAGCACCTGGAGGAGTCCTTCGCCATCGCCTCCTTGGCAGAGACTGGCCACCTGGCAGCTTTCTCCCTGATCTCTCACCTCAACGACACCTTCCGCTTTGACTCAGAGAAGCTGCAGGTGGGACAGGGTGTCTCCCTGACCCTCAAGACCACAGACCCAGGAATGACAGGTCTTCTCCTGGCTGTCGAAGGGCCAGCTGCTAAGAGGACCATGAGACAGCCCCGGAAGGACTCTGAGACAGTCGATGAGGATGAGGAAGCGGATCCAGCTCTGGCTGTAGGGACTGTCAAGAAGCATACCCTGTCCATTGGGGACATGGTCACTGGGACTGTCAAGTCCATTAAACCCACCCATGTGGTCGTGACTCTGGAAGATGGCATCATTGGCTGTATTCACGCCTCACACATTCTGGATGACGTCCCAGAAGGCACCTCTCCTACTAGCAAGCTGAAAGTTGGGAAGACGGTCACTGCCCGTGTGATTGGTGGGCGAGACATGAAGACATTCAGGTTCGGAGGTTTTGGGGGTGGGCTGGCTCTGAGGGAAGTTATCATAATTATTGGAGGAGGAGGAACATAGGGGCAGATTCCAAAAAGTTGCATGTAAGTCAGATTTTCTGTTGGTTAACACAAGGCATTCACCAACAAATCCTTTTACAACATCTTTAAAATAAGGAATAGAGGGACCAGCAGATGGCGTGATGACTGTGTCTCTGGATTCCCACGTAGTCGACTGTGGTTCGAGTCCTGGATCCGGTGGCTTAAACTCACACCAATCACATGTGCATGCGTGCCCAAGATTCTGAGAGGAGAATGGAGGAGAAGGGATTGCGGTGTGGCCATCCCCCCTAGTGGGTGATTTCTGTCTCCGTCTCTCTCTGTCTTCCCAGCTGAGCGCACGTGCCCTATAGCAAAAATCTCTCCCCCCAAAAAAAGTAATAGAGTGTAGTGGTTATGAACATGGGTTTAGAGTCAGACTCGGGTTTGAATTCTATGTTGACTGTGACCATGCGCTAATAGCTATTTGAGTCTGAATTTTATTTCCTAGTGTGTAAAGTGAGAGTAATGGTGGTGGCCACCTTGTAGAGTAGCTGCAAAGACTTTAAGAGGGGACATGTGGGGACCAGCAGTTAGCGTAATGGCTATGTCGCTGGACTCCCATGTAGTTGACTGCGGTTCGTGTCCTGGACCTGGTGGCTTAAAACTCACACTGGGCGCGTGTGCGTGCGTGCCCAAGATCCCGAGAGGAGAATGGAGGAGAAGGGATTGTGGCATGGCCATCCCCCCTGGGGGGTGATTTCTCGCTTTCTGTCTCTCTGTCTCTCTATCTGGTGAGTGCACACGCCCTATAGCGAAAACCTCTCCAAAAAAAAAAAAAAAAAAGAAAAGAGGGTACATGTGTTATATAAAGTGTTGAGCAGGTGGGGGCTCAGAGTTACTGTTCAGTCCACAGCAGTTACTGGGACCCATCACCCACCACACACTTTACTGTACTCCTTTCCTTAAGATCTAGTCACAGCAGAAATTCTTGTAGCAGAAATTCTTGCTACAGCAAAAAAAAAAAAAAAAAAAAAAAAGGCAAAAGAGAAGTTCAGAATCTAGTTGATTATTTGCATGCCGGTAACTGAGGTCTTCAGTGAGTCATTTATCCTTTCTAGACCTCAGTTCCCTTATTTTTAGAATGAAAGAGTTAAGAGTATATCGTCTGGGGCCAGCAGGTGGCTTGTTGGTTAAGATACTGGGTTCTCACATGACCAACCACGATTCAAGTCCTGGACCCGGTGGCTTAAAAGTCATGCAGAATGTGTGGAGGCGTGTGCCCAGAATCCCAGGAGGAGCATGGAGGAGGAGGAACTGTGGCGCGGCCGTCCCTTTGGGGAGTGATTTCTCATTTTCCCTCTCACTGTTTCTCTTTGTCTCTCACTGTCTCCCTATGGCAAATCCCTCCCCCATATAAAAAGAGCATATAGTCTCTAAGAGAAATCCTTTTCGCTGTCTGATAGGACAGTCCTACAGGATCAGACCAGCAGCTCCTTAGCATTTGCTGTGAAGGATGAGGATGGAGACCCTTGTCCTGCTCCTCCCATCTATGGTGGGGTGTTAGTGGAGCTGTGGGGTTTGTAAGTGTGGTTTGGGGTAGAGTGGAGAGAATTCTTGATCTTCAGATTACTGTGTTATAGGAATGAAAGGAATGATTTGACTTATTTATTTTTCCAGATTTCTCCCAATAAGTCACCCCAGATTTATTCGAACCATTCCGGAGTTAAGTGTTCGGCCAAGGTGAGTGGGACTCTTTAGCAGCCTGATCTCATGACAGAGCACTGGGCTTTGCACTCAGGACTCCCGAATCTTGATCCTGCCAGTGCTGATCCTGCCAGTGTGAGGGCTTACTTTGTTTCTCTGTAGGGGTAGGGGTATTTGGCCCTGTGGGGTTAGTGGGATTATATGGAAATTTACGTAGAAGCTGTGTAGAGGGTTTAAGTATCAGTTTAAGTATCACCTGCTAATTGCAGGTGCATTTTATATTTTTTATTTTAATTTTTTAAAATTTTTTTGGAGAGGTTTTTGCTATAGGATGCGTGCGCTCGCCAGACAGACAGAGAGAGACAGAGAGTCAGAAAGCAGGAAATCACCCCCCCCCCCAGGGGGGATGACCACGCTGCAATCCCTTCTCCTCCATTCTCCTCTCGGGATCTTGGGCATGCACGCACACGCGCCTGGTGTGAGTTTAAGCCACCGGGTCCAGGACTCAAACCGTGGTTGACTACGTGGGAGTCCAGCGACATAGCCATTACACTAACTGCTGGTCCCTGCAGGTGCGTTTTTTAACATCTAGTGAAAAGAAACATTTTTGCTTTCAGCACAGTTCTTTAGACCTTGGTAATTTCCTAAATAAACAACGTTTGGCCAGGAGTACGTGCGCTGGTTCCGTGTGGGACTGCTGGTCACTAGAAGCTGAGCTGGAATTCTCAGTCACACTCTGGTGGATTCTGCAGAGAGGAATGTTCTGTAAGAGGTTCTTGGGGAGGAAAGCTAGAGCAGGTCTGTGTAGTGGTGAATCCAGCTGGGGTCATTTTTTCAGAGAACTTTAAGCATTCTGATCCATGGGCCTATCTGCCTGTGCTTCCTCCATGAAAGAACCCTACCTCTCAAAATTGGTGGACTCTCAGTAAGTGAAACTGGATACACACGACGGTAAGAAAAACTCTGCAGGGTCAGCCTTGGGTCTCGCCAGGTTGTAAGTCTTAGGCATCTAGGGGTGCTATGGAAGAACCTCCAGAGTAACTTCCAGAGGGTAAGATTTGTTCAGTATCCCAAAGAGACCAGAATAGAAGGACAGTCACAGGGTAGAACACAGCCATAGGGCTGTATGCTAAGAAATGCATCGTAAGGCAGTTTCATCATCGTGCGGATGTCAGAGTATGCTTACACTGACCTCTATAGTCTAGCCACTGCACTTAGGCTATGTGGTCTAATTTTAGGGGACCACAGTTGGATATGTGGTCTGTGGTTGACCCAAACAGTGTGCAGTACATGACAGTGTGCGTCTGAGAAGGCTTTTGTCTGACATACAGACATAATCCTGAGACTGAGTTTCTGTGGCTGACAACACTTAACGTAACTTCAAGATAAGTCTTAGCCCTTTAGTTTCAGAATAATGAGATTGAGTGGATGAACCACATTTTTCTTGGTTTACTCTCTGGTTTTCTTAGTTTCATATTTTAATTGTGTCTTCTTCCAGTCTTTGCTGTGGAAATGAAAAGACTTCATCATATTAGACCTCCTGTTTTAATAAACCTTTAGTTAGGGTTTGGGGTCAGGTAGTTTATTCAAAGTATGAGCTGATATCTTGTTTTGTTTTGTTTTGAGAGAGATTTTTGCTATAGGGCATGTGCACTCACTGAAGAGACAGACAGAAAGATAGAGAGTAAGAAATTACCCCCTGGGAGGATGACCATGCCACAATGTCTTCTCCATTCTCCTCTCAGGATTTTGGGCACACATGTACATGTGCCTGATGAGAATTTCAAGCCTCGAGGTTTAGGATTTGAACTGCTATTGACCATGTTGAGAGTCCAGTGCCTTAACCACTACACCTGCCTGCTGGCCCTGTGGGCATTACAAGTGATGAGTCAGTGTGAACTCTTTGAGAAGATCCATTGCAATCCAAAGTGGCCCTTGGTCCTCAGAGTGCTCAGAACCCTCATGAACACTGCTGTGTGGCCTACCCTTCTGTCTTGGGAGGCTGCAGAGGGAGTTGACTGTAACAAAGTGAGCCAAGCCAGGAAACGAACGTAGAGTTAAAATAACAGGTGGAGGGGCCAGCAGGTGGCATGCTGGTGAAGGTGCTGGATCCCACATGGCCAACTACACAATTTAAATCCAGACCCGGTGGCTTGAAAATCATCCTGGGCGTGTGTGCGCATGTGTGCAAGCGCCCAAAATCCCGAGAGGAGAATGGAGAAGGGACTGTGCTGTGGCCGTCTCCCTGGGGGATGATTTCTCACTTTCTCTCTCTGGTACACACACTATAGCAAAACACAGACAAACTTCACCTCTTTAGTGTACCTGTATTAAATTATTTCCTTTTAATCTTAAGGTTCCTGAGAAACAGTATAAACATAACAGTGGTATTTCTCTAATGCTTATGTATTTTTAAGCAGTTTGAAATCAGATGGAACACATTTCATTGATGGTTGTAGTTACTTGAATTGTAGTTTTATGTTTATGCCCCAGTTATATGTGGAGATCCAGATGACCAGGAGGACGTCATCTGCGCTAGAGCCTGGGTCAGAGAGGGACACTTGAGGTGGAGAAGACTCTTCTACCCAGTTACTCTTTGGAGAGCTGGGAGAACGAGAACTCCAGAGCCAAGTTCCCCCTGGGGTTCTGCTAGCCCATGTGCCTTCCCTGGTGTTAACTCAATTATACTAACCCTTCTCGGGCATGTCACTCTTTTTGGAGAAGCAGCTTAAAATATTTGGGGGAAAGCTAAAGGATAACACATACCCATGTTTGAGAGTGCATTTTGTGTTTTATTTGGCTTAAAAAACAGAAATTCTTTTTTTTTTGGAGAGGTCTTTGCTATAGGGCGCGGGCGCTCGCCAGACAGACAAAGAGAGACAGAGAGACAGAAAGCAAGAAATCACCCCCCAGGGGGGATGGCCATGCCACAATCCCTTCTCCTTTATTCTCCTCCTGGGATCTTGGGCACGCACACACATGCACGCCCCGGCGTGGGTTTAAGCCACCGGGTCTGGGACGCAAACCGTGGTCGACTACATGGGAGTCCAGCGACATAGCCATTACGCTAAGAGCTGGTCCCAGAAATTCATTTTCTCACAATTCTGGAGGCTAGAAGTCTGAGATTAAAATGTTAGAAGGGTTTGTTTCTTCTGAGGCCTCTTCAGAATGAACAGGTCTTTGTAGAAAACTGTCTTTGTTTTTTCCTTTATATATATCTGTGTTCTAATCTCAATTTCTATAGAAACTTTGCCAGAGGGCATGTGCATTCACCACAGAGAGAGAGGGAGGAAAAGTGAGGAACCCCCCTCCACTGGGAATCGGTCACACTGTGATACCTTCCCTTCCACTGCTCCCTCCTTTTGGAATTTTGAGCACAAATGCTTATGTGCCTAGGGTATTTTTCAAGGTGCTAGATTTAGGACTCGAACTGCACATTTAATTATGTTGAATCCAGCTGCCTTGACCACAACACTACCAGCTACCTCTCTCTTTTCTGTTTTTTTTAGAGAGAGATTTTTGCTGTAGGCCATAGATACAGCGAGAGACAGAAAGCAAGGAATCACTTCCTGGGAGGGCTAGCCAAGCTGCAATCCCTTCTTTGTTCTCCTCTCGGCATTTTGGACATACACACACACGAACACAGCGTGCATTTAAGCCATCAGGTCTGGGATTGAACTGCTATCAACAACGTGGGGTCTAGCAATGTAATGCTTATGCCATCTACTGGTCCCTGGTCCTCTCTTTTCTTATTGTGGTAAAAAAAGGAACACAACATAAACTCACTGTCTTAATAATTTTCAAGTGGGACCACCAGCTAATGTAATGGTTATGTTGCTGGACTTCTACATGCCTGACTGCAGTTCGAGTCCCTGACCCAGTGGCTTGAAACTCATTCCAGGCGCATGTGCGCGTGTGCCCCAAATCCCGAGAGTGGAAGAAAAGGGATTGAGGTATGGCTGTCCCCCCAGGGGGTGATTTCTCCCTTTCTGTCTCTGTTTCTCTCTGTCTCTCTGATGAGCACATGCACCCTATAGCAAAAATATCTTTAAAAAAAAATAATTTTCAAATGTACGTTGCAGTATTACTAACTACATATATTTTGTTGTACAACACCTCTCTAGAACTTATAAATCTTGCATGACTGAAACTCTACCCATTGATCGACTTCTTTTCTCACCTTTCAGCTACTGGCAACCGCCATTCTGTTTTCTCTGTGAAAACGCACCTTGACTTCTCCAACCACCCCATGTGTTGTCAGGCTGATGGAGGACATTCGGGATTGCTTATACGTTTCATAGCTAATGTCACAGTGAACAACTTAAGCTTGTTCCGTTGTGCATGCATGCGGAGATTTCTCCAGGTTGGAATTACTGGGTCAGAGGATGTCTGCATTTTCAGCTTTAGTCTATGAAGGCTCTTTTCTGCTTTCACCAATACATGCTATTATATTTTGTAGTTTTACTAGTGCTACATACACCATTTATTGACCAGGTGATTTTTTTTTTAAGAATTGTTTGTGGGACCACCAGTAAGTGTAATGGCTGTGTCACTGGACTCCCATGTGGTCAACTGTGGTTCAGGTCCTGGACCCGGTGGCTTAAATTCATGCCGGGTACCTATGCGTGCGTGCCCAAGATCCCGAGAGGAGAATGGAGGAGAAGGGGTTACGGTGTGGCTATCTCCCATAGGGGTTGATTTCTCGCTTTCTGTCTCTCTCTGTCTTTCTGGTGAGCGCAGGCGCCCTATAGGGAAAAAACTCCCCAAAAAAAAAAAAGGAGAAAAAAACAGTCCAAAAAAAAAAAAAAAAAGAATTATTTGTTTTGGGGCCAGCAGATCATGGCCAACTGCAGTTTGAGTCCTGGACCTGGCAACTTGTTTTCTCACTTTCCCTCTCTTATATTCTCTTTGTCTCTCTCTCTTTAGTGCCCTATAGCAAATTTTAAAATAATAATAAATTATTACTTAATAAGAATAAATTTTAAAAATGATTCTTAATTAATTTTATTTATTATTATTATTTTTTTTAAATTTGCTATAGGACATGTGTGCTCACCAGAGAAAGACAAAAAGAGAGAGAAAAGACAGGGAGAGTGAAAAAGCAAGCTGCCAGGTCCAGGACTTGAACTGTGATTGGCCATGTAGACGTCTAGCACC